AAAAGGTTGTTGATTCATTAAGAGTAGAGAAAAGGTCGTCTTCAGAATTGCAGAATAACTGCTCATTGGCAACAGATGAAATGTAAAATATGATATCTGAATTAAATAAAAACTTAAATCAATTTGTAATTGATCTGACTATACCTTCAAAGCAGTATGTAATTGCAGCATAGAGAACAAATACAGTTGGGAATTTGCATCTATTAAATATGACAAAAATTACCTTGTACATGTATATTAGATATTACATTATTTTGTAACGAAATCCAGCAATGATAAAAGTTATAAAGGAAATGATTAAATCGAACCCAGCTACCAATCCTGAGAGGAGTAACAAAGCATTTTTATTACTATAATGACTCCATTGACTACAAATTGGATAACAGGCTCCAAATTTAGTATTGTAGTAAAAGTCTTCACTGCAGTTTAAAGCACTGGTGTTTGGTCCAGTGTTTATCAAATTAGTTCTTTTGCTATGTCCCTATTATAGATATTGGTGAATGCAAAATGGTTGTCTTTTTGTCTTACCTCTGTGAAGTAGAGTATAATGGGGACTATTAGTATACCAACACTTCCTAGTAGTAACAGAACTAGGATCACTGGTAAGATGGATCTCTCAGCAATAAGGGCAGTCCTGCTTTTTACCATCATTGGAGGCAGTAAGTGAGGATCAAGGCCAATCAGCAGCTGTTACACCCGGCCAAACTATCTAATAGTTTAAGCTATACCTGTGGGTGTATGTTTTATTAAATACTTTTAATTTGTATCCACAATTAAATAACAATTATGCTAGTCCATCCTCCATTGTAACATGATGATGTTATAATGCCAACAAGTATTCATAAACTTGTCTCCTTTAAAAATAAACAGAAATAACTTTTGCTTATGCATGCATAAATTCTTAATAACTGACCAAAAAATCAGTACTCCATGGCATTGATTGATATCAAGCAGTTTTTGGTGTGTCAATCTGAACTATGTAAGTTGTAAACACTATAGTTCAACAAGACAATAGTAGTAAATTGACAGTGCTATTATTATTCTGTCAGAGTTATCAAGATCAAGTAGATACATTAGTCATTTTGAAGAACTCTGTCCTATACAATTTTGACTGAGATCAATAAATGTATCTATTCACATTGCTATTATTCTGTCTGAGTTAGCAACACCATAATCAAGTAGATCATTTTTACATTATGCAGAAATAATTTGGCATTGAATGAAGAGTGTAGCCTCCCCAATCTTTATCAAACAGTGCCAGCAATACAACAGGAAGAGGAAGAGTCACACCTTATTAATATTCAGCATAACATACACTAAATCATAATCTCTTACCAACAAATACCAAGTATCAGTATAAGGATGGTGTGTATGAACTTGCCTTTGTCCTTAACCTAGTTAAAACACTAGATACAATGTCTACCTATCTCTTTTATACCTTCAAGAGTAGTAGGTACAATCATTATAGCTTATATAATGAGGACTATAACCACCACTGGCATGCATTCTTTCAAAAATGAAACAAAAATAGGTGCACCAGGATGAGAGCTTTTTCGTTTTATTCTTCCTTGCTAGCTTATAGTAGCCTCTAGCTCCAGCCAGATCTGCACTGTGTAGCCAGCTAGCCCTCCTACACGTGGGTGCATATACTATAGTATGCAGCATACTTTTATTTTATTTAATTACTACTAGAAGAGCAACATGACTGCCAATGTAATAATAAATAACTTTAGAATGCAATCTATGACCAGTACATATTTGAGTTTATTGTTTATACATAAATAACTCATTTTTGCATTCAAAATTTAAATAGCAATTAGATGTCACTCTATTTCTGTAGCATAATTACTAATGCCAACATGTCAGTGACTTTAACCCAGTTTTAGAACAACTTCAAAAGTTCATAAATCTTATATGGATTGGAACCAGCTCAAATTTGAAACACAACATTAAAAACATGTTTATGTATCTGGAGAAATTATAAAAATAGAGAATTCTCTCCTTTTCAATTTTGGCAAAATTTGGTCCATGACCCTGTACCATAATAGTACAGGGACTTTATCCTATTTCAGAGCAACTTTAAAAATTGATAAAAAATAATACTTTTGATTGAAATCAGCTCAAACTTTCAACACAACTTGACATGAGTACATGCAACTCTTTGACTTGATGATAATTGAATAATCTAATCAACTAATGCGGTTATGTTGGGGCATGCTTCAATTAAATTATCTTTTCATTTTATTGTCATTAACAAAACTGTTCAGATCGCATTTCAATGATGCTATACAGCATACATTCAATCACTACAAGAGTAACATGACTGCTAGCAACTTAATATTGCAATATTTGAACAGTATAATAATATATTTGAGTTCTATGCATCACTGATTTGATTTATCATGACAAATGAATTCCTTGGTAGCACTCCAATTAATGACATAGATTAATGGACCTACATGTATAGTTATAAAAGAAATGTAAAAGGAAACCAAGTAATTGGACTAACCTAATGGTAGAACACCAGCAGCTACTACGAACACAATCCTCAAAGCAAAAAAAAAGCTGATATTTTGAACTAAATTACATCCTCTCCACTACCAAA